CTCCTTTTTGGTTCGTCTTCTGATTGACAGCAGGGAGTGGGTGGGTGTAATAGCCAGCCTGCTATTGCAGTTTGAAATAGCCAATAGCAGGCTGGCTATTGCTCCCAGCCACTGCATGCTGCATTTACATTCAGCTACCTCAGTAGGCAGCTGTCATTCCCCAGTGAAGTGGAAATGTGACACTAGGGGTGTGATTTACTAACCTAAACACACGCATGCACTAGGTGCGTGTGATTTTTACACAGCAAAACGTATTTATCAACCAAAAAGTCTCTAAAAGCATATTTCCACTAATGCCATATATGGAAAAATCATGCACATGATGCATATATAATGCTGCTTCACAGTTTTTAGACAAAAATGGTTAGCTCATGCATTTACATTCCTGCATTCATCAACGCAAGCAACACAACATAGAGCTAATTTACACAACATCACCTTGCAATTCATTGCAGGGCTTTGCACAACACACCTGCTGGGTGTGTACACACTACAAAGGTGTTTAGATTCCACCCATAGATCATGCTGGGAGGGAACACACTACAGAGGTGTATACATGTTCGTGGTGTGTTTATAAGGTTAGTAAATCAACCCCTAGGGGTCTAAAAGACTCCTCCTGTCACCTCTAATGTGCCATCACATAGGGGCTTGTTAAATCAAATAAAAAATACCAAAGAAAAAAGTCCCTATGCGAACGCATGCACACACATGGAAACGCAAGTTGTTTCCATTGTCGCCTATGTATGAAATCGACGATTACGCCAATTTCATGTTTTTTAAAAGGTTGGATATTTTATTATATTGGCTTGAAGTTTTTAAATTCAGATTATTTTAAATCCATGAAACTGATTTAAAATGTCTAATATAATACATACAATTATTGAAAGAAAAAATTAAAATTTGTGAAAAAGTACATTTTGACACTCACGCGCACACACTCTCACGATGTATGTATTACCATTGAATGGAATCTTCACCTTCATAGGTGCTGCTCAGATCCAACACTTTCTCCTGTGTCCATCCTCTGTTGCCACCATAGCGTTTTAGTTTAGTAGGGTAGGAGTGTCCTTTAAATTTAACACTGGCATTATTATTCATAGTAGACAAACTCTTGTGCTGCAACTAAAGTGCTGTTTTTATCTTCCAGCTATGGACCTCAGAACAACAGAACGACGAGGCTGAGCCTGGAGAGGGAGACAACTAACAACTGCCACGCATCAATTATAATTTTTTGTTTTTCTTTATTTGGTTCACCATCACTCTGTATTGTATATCCCCTTTGTGCGACCAGTAAAGAGAATAGTACATCGACTTTCACAACTTCCGTGTAGCAGAACATTTTGTGGATTAAGAAGTAAATCAGGCATTTTACAGGAGACAAATGTAACTTTTTATGTATATATGGTATATTCTATCTGTATATCATATATATAAGGTTCAAGTATGTAATTAGATCTTGTGTGATTTAAGTTTTCTTTTTTAAACTGAACACTGTGATTATGGGACTTTGTTGCTAAAAAAAAAAGAAATCACTCTAGATTCGGATTTTTCCCCAATTCATATGACGTTTTAGGACAAAAAGTCGAAGTACAATTCTGTTGTATGTGTAACAAATGTTAACATACTGTAACCATTGGGATGAGTTGACTTCTATGCTGTTTGAGGTTTGCTCTTTGTAATGATGATGCATTTGTCTGAGCTGAATGCTACATCTGGAAGCCTCATTTTTAAGCCTGAATATAATCTTTTGGCATCATGTTGCATCTTTTGGATTGATATGTGCACTTTTTTTTTTAGTTCAGCTTTGAGAAATGTCACCGAAAGGTGGCAAGCCATTTTTGGATGGTTGCCAGCTCATTCACTCACCTGTATGTAGGCTTCTTAAAAAAAGGTTCCCAGGAAAGGTAAACTTTAAGATTCGTAATCTCCAGCCCTCGGCTCAATAACGTCCACTGAATAATGTGTAGGGTTGGAGCCCTTATCTGAGATTGGCTTTGTTAGGTGGAACTGGTTCTTTAGGACGACGCTGCCATGGGTTCTCTTGGAACTAGGAGCAGTTTATGGCAGCACCTTGCTCAATAACCTGTTTCTCATTACGGCTGATTTTTTTTTTTAATCGAAGTTCTCAGGCTCCAAACAGACCTTGCTGATCTGTTGTCTGTTAATCATTGAACATTACCTCCTTTTTAGACTGTTTTCTAGCACGCCCTATTTAAATCTCCTGGGCACTCTAGAGACATTATCTGCCATGGCTCATGACCATCTAGCCTATGTGTATCTTGTCATTTACATCAAGCAAACTGATATTGCAACAACCATGGCTTTTGAGCAGATACTTTTTTTTTTTGTTTGTTTCCTCCTGCGACCCAATGATTTCTTTTTTAAAAAGGGTGGGTGACGGGCATGCCTTTTAAATGTCATAATGCAAAGATCAATGGTATATACTAATCACTAGCATCCAATTGGTATCCATTTTCAGCAGCTTAGAGTCGGCGTGTAAAGGAAGCTGATCACTTATTTTTTGGCATTAGATTATGGTACACCGCTTACTTTTTGCCTTCTAATTGGCTAAGTCTATATGTGTATAAAAGGTAGATGAAATACAGGTTTTACTACATGTATCAGGGGTTCAAATACCTATTGTAAAGTACTTGTCAATAATAGGATGACTTTTACAGAATTATACTGCAAAGTAATATACAAGTGTCCTGTTTGTGGAGTAAACTTTTTGAAATCTGCTATTAGTGTGGCCACAATATTTTAACTGTTTACATTTTCTTTTTAACTTGCAGCCATCCCTCGCTGTTCTGCTCCCCCTCCCTGGATATTTTACTAATCTTTATTTTGTTAAAACTCAGATCAGATGTGACCTTTTTTCCATCTTGTGGTGATCTATCATAGGCACTTTTTCTGTTATGAGCAACACACCAAAACTGCTGCAAGTCCTACCTGCTTTGTAGTGCTAAATGCAAAACTGCCTATGCTGCAGTATGAATGGGTGGCAGATGGTTGTTTTCAAGGTGTGATTTGATTCTTAAGAATCTGTCATTGAGCTTATGCGAGAAGCCTCTTGATAGAAGAGCCAATTCTCCCAACCTTGGAGCATTACAAGTTGTGGGCTATTGAAGTATCTGTCCAGTTTTACCTCGGTTGACATGACTTCCCCCACATTGATACAACTCATGATCCAGAGATGGTTAGTGTAGTTAGAGGCTTTTATGATAGTGATTACTTTGTGCGCACATTTTTGGTCCTAATGGCCACCTGTGCCATGGGTCCATCTGGACATAGACTGTAGGAGATGAGGAAATTTCTTGATTTGCGATTGCTTTTTTGGACAGGGCTAACAGGTGTGTGGTGTGCTTACTCAGTAATGCCCCTTGCTTATCGAAGAGAGAATTGTTAATTGCCTATAGATGTGATCATTCTTTATTGCCTGGACTGTGCGTATTGGTTATATATGCAGTTTGCAAATGTTCAGTTTTACTTGGAGAAAGGTGCTTTTTTGGGGGGGCATGATACCAGTTGCATGGGGTTGAGGTCATTAGCCATGTAAAATGGACATATCTGTCCTTTTTTTAAAGTGAACTTGACTTGGCATTAAGCATGCCCAAGATGAAGATACTGCTGAAGTGCAAGGTCCTTGGAGTGCCTTTTAGTTGGTTCCGATTGAGCCTTTGGATCAAGCCAGGGAACTATTATTGTGGAAGTAGACAGTGGCCGTTCCCATATTCATGTTATGACAGGTTTTCTTTAATCACAACTTGGAAAGAAATGTTAGGCCTGTGTACAGTCAAGGAATGTGGGGAGGATCAGTTTCAAGACTGACGCATTTTACTTTTCAGGCACCACAAGTTGCTGCGCTTCAGCAGTATATTATCTTAGACCATTTTTAGGCAAGGTCAAGCTTACTTACTCGTGGTCGAGACCATTCCCAAACCTTTCTTTGTTGGTGCGCTGTCGGTTATTGTCCTCTGTTTATGAACACACATTCAAGACACTTTTTTTTCTGTAAAACAATATATTAACTGGTAAGTTGTATTAATGCGCATAGTACTGTATTCAGTTAGTCACTGTTCAGGCTTTCAGAGCATTTTTTCAACTTTTTTACATTCCACTCGACTGTATCTTTTTTTTTCTTGACGTCTGTCCGCTTAAAGGCAAAAATCCATGCACTGATCTTGAAATCTCCGAACAAAACGTTAATACTTGCGCTTTATAAATGCAGTAGTGAATGTGGAACTGAGCCTGTCTGTATATCTGGTAGCTCTTTATATATATTTTTTTTTCTTTTTTGCTTTGTTTTTACTGACCAGTATTCTGCCTAAAAAGTTTGCTTCTGTGTTGGTTTGATTACTTAGCGCACACGTGGTTGTGAAAATTTAGTCTAGCTCAAAAATGAAAAAAAAAAAAAAATGGTTATTGATGTACTCAAATTTGTGTATGTATTTTCAACAGTTCTAGTTTCACCCTACACAGGATAATCCGAAACGTGTAACAATTCAAAAGCAAAATAAATAATCCATGTTATCAGGCTTGTGGGGTTTTTTTTTTCATTTAAGAGATGTGAGCACGCAGCTTGCTAAAGCTAAACTCCAACCAGATATAAAAGAAAATCCATTACTTTATAATAAAGTGTATCTAAACCCAATTATTAAAACCAAATATGTTCTTGCATGTGTTCCTGTAAATTTAATCCTTAACCCCCTGCCCCCATTATATGTTTTGCTTTTCAGTTCAATCATATCAGCAAGGTCTATCTATTTATTTATTTTTTCCGCCCTCTTGCTCCTGTGGTTTTAACTGCTGCTCAGTCTGGCCGGTTCGCATGTGACCGCCCTCTGGTTTCCACCCGCTATTTGTCATTCTGGAGGTGTGGCTTGTGTCTATGCTATATTCCAGGTTGTGATACTGTTCTGGTCCCAGCTGGTGCGCGCACAGGATCGAAAACTACTCGGGCCCCCACTTGTCTGCATGCTGCTAAGGGGATTGGGTAATAACTGGTGCTGGGAATCACAGGCACCTGATAGGAATACCTGCAAGCCGAAGTACCCTCATGGGGTTCAAATTCTGGCCAAGGCTTTACAATGCAGTCAGATTTCACCATGCCATCTGCTGCTACAGATGCCAGAGACCTGGGCACCAATAGCCCCAAGGTAGGTCAGTATTTTTAATTCTCCCATCTGTTCTCATATGATGGTGTGGGGGGCACACCAGTTAGGTATAGCTGCTTTTCTGGGTGATTTTTCTTTTCCAACTTCCTAAGGGTTACCACTTCTGATCCACACTTCATGGTGAGGTTGGTGTTTTATATTTTAATCTGGGCTCCTTTTGTGCTGTTTTTCAGGCCAAAGCCCCGGTTGAGAAGCCCACATGACATTTTTGGTACCTGCTCTAGGAGCAAAATATGTGCTTCTTGCAGCCTTAAAGGTGTCTTGTCTTTATTTTTCTTGCATAGTGGAAAAAACTACTGGATGCAGAGTTCATAAATGTTCTCGGTCAATATCCCCTACCAAGCCCCTTGCGGGCTTGACCGTAGTAGAAACTATGTTTCTGGATGAGGAGAGGGAGGATGGTGAAGGTAGCAGAAGATGCTAGAGACTAATAACTCCTGGCATGGTCAGTTGTCCATAATTTGTACCAGGCTTAAAGAAACCATTTTAGTTTTCCGTGAAAGTGGTGCGCACTTGTTTTAAAAGTAGAATTATCTCTGCCTACTGGACCAAAGGTGGCCAGTCAGGGTTCTCAGAAGAAAAATTAGAAATCCACTAAGGCTTTTCAGGTCGACCCTCTGGTACGATATGATTTTGTATGACGACTGCCCACATCCAGTCAAGATGTTCATCAATACCCTGTTGCGGAAGCTTACTATAAAAAAAAAGTTATTCAAGATGTGAATCCCACTATTGCTTGCCTTAACAAGTCTTTGATAGTCCAAGTTGAAAATGTTCCATTCTGTAATGACCCTGTGGACAAAAGGTTGGATGGCCTACTTGAACATTCCTATACTCCGGTGAGTACAGCCAGGCAAATGACTGGGCTCTATGGCCATTTACAAGACCCTTGCCCACCATTGTCAAGTGACCTAGGGTTGATCCTCACAGATCCATCAGTCTTCCAAATGCTGGAGCTCCTATTTGTCCCATGTTACTGCATAAATGGCTTAACAGATTCTCTGTGCCAAGCTTCTTGCCTGGTATTTTGTCAGTCCAGATGCACAAGATTGTGGGGCGACTTTACTGGTTTGTTGACATGGTCTGGAATTCTTTGGAGGCCTTTATTAAAGAAGTCATGGGCGGGAAGAGTATTTTCTTACATAGTAAAACAAAAAAAAAATCCATGTGACAAAAACGTATATGTGTCTGAAAAAAAAAAAAAAGTTCCTTTTGTTCCTTGCTGGGTTCCACATCCAAGGCAAAGTCTGGCACTCATCAGTGGTTCCTGTGCTTTGCAGTGGGGGAGCAGCACTTCCAGTTTGTGGCTCTTTTTTGTCTCTCCCTGGCCCCCCAGGTATTTATGAAGGTACTGGCCCTGGTTCTTGCACAGCTATGGTCCCAGGGAATCTGCATGGTTGGGGTGTCTAGATGATCCCCTTCTGATGGAGCGCCCTGCCCAAGTCCTCTCTGTCACTGTCCAATGGATGCTCCAGGCAAATTAAATCTGTGGGTGGATCCTCAATCTACAAGTCTGTGTTGGATCTGGCCCATCACTTGGGAGTACTTGGGCTTAGTCTTTGACATGGCCCAGCTCTGGGTGTCTATTTCCCAGACAAGGTTTGACTTCTTGCTTCTGGAAGCTACTGTCTGTCAGGTTTTGCATCAGGGATCAATGTTGGCCTCCTTCAAGGTGGTGATGATTGCCCGGTTTCACTCCAGGCCCCTAAAGCTCA